TCTCGTCGTAACAACATAAGGATAATTGGAGTTCCAGAAGAAAACCCCTCTACTACCGTGGCGATTTCCAAGCTACTTAAGGCACTTAACATTGACAAGGACATCATCATTGACCAGTCACATCGCGCATTACAGCTTAGGCCAAGACCGGGGGAGCGTCCGCGAGTTATTGAAGGTCTGCCTTCAATGATGTTCGTCAACAGCTGCGCTCAATTCCTGGGGTGAAGTTTGGTTTTCTTCATCCAGCTAGGCTGCGTGTTACTTACAACGGGGTCGAAAGGCAGTTCAACTCACTGGATTTGGCTAAAGCATACGTCAATTCTTTACAGTCTCATCAGAGTGTATCAAGTGATTCTTGAATGTTTACGCGTAGACGTGAGCTGAGTTGGGTAAGTTAACCCTTGGCATTATGCAGAAGACAGTGGACAATGCATTATACATGAGACGCTGGTGCGTGTTACATACAACGGGGTCAAAAACCAGTTTAACTCACTGGATTTGGCTAAAGCATACGTCAATTCTTTACAGTCTCATCAGAGTGTATCAAGTGATTCTTGAATGTTTACGCGTAGACGTGAGCTGAGTTGGGTAAGTTAACCCTTGGCATTATACAGAAGACAGTGGACAATGCATTATACATGAGACGGTGGACTATGGACTGTGAATGTGATTGTTTATTATTTGTTTCCCCCCCCTCTTTTTTGAGCTTGTCATAGTGTCTCAAATGCAAACGATATTTTGAATATTATCGTTACTGTCTAATTACCAGTCATGCTTGGTAACTGTTTTATTTAATTACTGTATAAGTGCAACTTTATTGGTTATTGAAACAGAGTTAATGCGGGTTATCTGTTATATCTGTTCTACTGTGATAGCCTGCGAATGAATGTTATATACTGCAGGTCTCCATTCTCTTCTTGTTAAGCTCTAATCGTGAGCAGTAATTGTATGGGTTGGCTCCCTTTGGAGTCTGCACATGAGTTCGCATCAATTGGGGATGCGGATATTGGATGTGCTTGGGTGGGTGGGGTTGTTTTGGGATTGATCTGTGCGGGTTTTGGGTTTTTTGTTTGTTTTTGTTTTGTTCTTGGTTTTTTGCAAATTAAAAGGATGCAAGGTAATAAAGCTCCCGGGCCCGACGGTTTTCCTGTCGAGTTTTTAAAAAAAATTCAGAATAAACTGTCCCTATTACTTTTGTCAGTGTATACGGAATCTTTAGAGCATGGTCTTCTACCGGAGACACTTACACAAGCATCCATAATTCTGTTACTAAAAAGAGATAAGGATCCTAAGCTATGTGGCTCTTACAGGCCCCTTTCCTTACAGAATGTGGATGCCAAGATTTTGGCTAAAGTGCTGGCTTCTCGCATTGAAAATATACTACCAAAGATTATATCTGAGGAGCAAACAGGTTTCATCAGGGGGAGACAGTTATTCTTTAATGTTCGTACTCTTTTAAATATAATTAATCTTAAACATTCCTCCCAGACACCTGAGGTTGTTATTTCACTCGACGCTGAGAAAGCGTTTGATCGTGTGGAGTGGGAGTATCTTTTCACTGTGCTTCAAAAATTTGGGTTTGGGGATAATTTTATTAAATGGATACGTCTTTTATATGCTTCTCCTCAGGCGAGTGTGCACACCAATAATAATAGATCCAGCTATTTTAGGCTGGGACGGGGAACACGACAGGGGTGCCCACTCTCCCCTTTGCTTTTCGCCCTGGCCATTGAGCCATTGTCGACTGCTTTGAGGTCCTCCCCGTCATTGCAGGGAGTGGTGAGGTCAGGCATTGAAATTAAACTATCACTTTATGCTGATGATCTATTATCATATGTATCTAACCCGATTTCTAATTTTCCAATTATTTTATCCATGTTGCAAAAATTTGGCTCTTTTTCTGGATACAAAATAAATCTCCACAAAAGTGAGTGCTTTCCGATTAATGCATTGGCTATGGGTCTCCTGCAGTCAGATGTTCCATTTAAATTAAGCAAAACAGGATTTAGATACCTTGGCATTAATATTACTCATTCTCTCTCTTCTCTTCTATCTGGTAATTTCTCTCCTTTGTTGGAACAGACTAAGTCTGATTTTCAGCGATGGAACAATCTGCCTCTATCATTGATAGGTCGGATTAAGGCAGTGAAAATGAATGTTTTACCTAAGTTTCTTTTCGCCTTTCAGTGCATTCCTTTCTTTCTCCCCAAGCGTTTTTTTAAATCTATCGACCAGATTGTCACTGACTTTTTGTGGGTTGGTAAAGTGCCCAGAATTCGGAAATCATTGCTTCAAAGATGCCAGCTGAATGGTAAGTAAGTCCATACTTCACTTTGGTTTTTCCTCCTTTCAGTCATCTTAAAAAAAAAAAAAAAAAAAGTGTTAAAAATTTGTAATCTATTTTCTTGTTGTAATGATATTTGTTTTAATAAAAAGTTTGAACATAACTACAGCTTTAAATATGAGTGAAGAAAAAGCAAAAAATAGCAAATGCAACATGGAATATTAATTGTAATGTTCATTATAGAGAATGCCTACAAATGTATTCAACTTTTTCAATAGCTATTTGATCAGGTGCTGTCAGTCCTGGATGTGCGTGAAGGGAGAATTGTCCATAGCCTCTCCAGCAAAGAAAATTGAGCATCTAGAAGAAAGCAGAGCAACTCCGCAGACTGTAAAACCGTCCATCACAATCATGTGATTTTCCTTTCTTCTCTTGTTGAGCACGTTTCTGGTTTAGGTTCTGATGCCATTCCAAAGGGATGGGACAGGTCACAATATTAGGTTAAAAATAGTATTCCTATTTTAATGTCAAATTTCTTTTGGTGGGTGATCAGACATTATATATCTTAATACCATTACTGATACTCTTCTTACATTTCCCAAGACCACAAAAGGAGAAATGTAAAGAGGCCAGACCAAGAAATCCCTATAAATGGCAGGAACTGAAAGAAACTTTGGGTGTTGAAGATCAGACGGAGAGTGTTAAACACCTGCACTCCGTATCGCAAGAAGAAGACAAGATGATGATTACCAAGCTTTTCTGTGAATGGATTACTTCACTGGTAATATTTCTTCATGTACACTTTAAAAGCATACGGATGAGATATTAAACCTAAAAGGTTATTTAACCTGTTATGGGTGGAGAGACCAGCGATCTGATCTGAGTCAACCATCTTGGACCTGTTTAAGAGTGACTATGAAAAGAAACCCTCCTTGACCGTACCTATTAACAAGACTGATCCTAATCAAACTCCAGCAAAAATCTGCAGCTCTGTGGAGGAACATCATAAAGACCAGTCTGTTAAAGATTTGACTCAGGTTGGGGATATTGTTTTTCTTCTTAACATTTACATTTTGTGGTGATTACCCAAAATTGTGGATTATTAAGTCTTGTATGTTTGTAGGACAGGTCTATAAACCCAAGAGACCCCAGGCTGTCAATGATCCTCTAATAGCCCTAGCAGATATCACAGGAAGCCTGGACTTTGAGGAGCAGCTGAGCGAGACGGTGACTTTTATAGCATCTACGATAAAGAGCAGCTGACGATGAGACAAACCAGTCCAATCTCTATTTAGTTGTTTTGAGTTCCATTCATATTTTCCTGTCATCTAGGATGAGGAGCTGAAGCAGATTCACGGCATTCAGAGAGCTCATTATCAACAAGGGAGGGAGAATGCCAAGGGTAATGCAAGAGAATGTTGTATTCATTAATTTTCAACTAAATAAATAGCTAATATATAAATAAATATATAATAAGAAATCATTATTTTATTCATCTCCCATGTGTAGTTTCTCACCACTGTCTTCTCTGAGGATGAACAGAAGAACAGGATGAGGCTCAACCACATCATCATCATCTAAAGGGAGAGCTGTTCATTAAACTCTTTAAATAACATTCCCTGATGTTGTTTTATTAAACATCACTTCACACATTCATGCATCAGCTGCTGAGAGCAGTTCCCCAGACTACAATTTTTCAAGATTAAAATAACATTTTACCCCCAAGCCAGATTTCAGTATTATGTTATTTTACAATAATAATAATAATAAAAAAAATAGAACTAGGGCGTATTTGGCATGGTTCTCTCTTCCTCTAGGTTTCTTCATTCATTCATAAAATGTTCACTGAAAAACAAACACGGAGTTCTCAGCACCCTGGTGGGAATTACAAGGGCTTTCTAAGGATTTTTAGGTAAACAGACTGAAGTCTGCTCTCATGCATTCTGCCATGCTAATGAGCTGCACTTGGCTAAGTTCTACATTGTCTTCTAGTGCTTTCAGGAAGAGAAATTTCATTAAAAAAATCTCATTCTTTATGAAAAACGAAATATTTTATTTTAGATCTGGTTTTAGAAGTGTGTCCTCTTTTCTTTGCCTTTATAAAACTACATCCCTGCAGAACAAATCACTGGAAATCATTGGAAGCACAATACATACCACTGTAACATCTAAAGATCTTCAGTATGGGCACAATTTTCCTGTTGTTAAGCTCCGCCTCCCCTAGCCAGTGTTGCTAACTTGGACAAGCTTGTCTGTGAACAGCATCAGCAGGAAAATGTGCTCGTAAAATGGTAAAAATTGACTGTATATTATTCTAACATGGGCTGAAATTAATCAGTTTTTGTGCTTGATATGTCCCGCCCTGTCTTCCGGTTTCAGTAGATATTTCAAGGCAATTCAGTGGTCCTTTAAAAATGGTAGATCGCAACAAAAGGTCGGACTGGGCCTAGTGAAGGTTCAATGTAGGTAAGTTCAACTTCATGCAGCGGTGCACAGAAAGACTGGCTTCTGACTTCAAGCAGTGCATGCTGTTTAGAAATGTCATAAAGTATGGCATTGAAGTACCGCTGTGTTACATATGGCATCAAAGTACTGCAACAGCATCCAAAAGCAGCCGCCTGGCTCAGTCAGCGCAGCTTCTCCAGAGCGGCTGTGCGAGGTCCGATTACAACATAGTTATAAACATAAAAGTGATTAAAAAAATATAGACCTCACTTTATTGATATTTTAATAATGTTGGCATGTCACAAACTTTTTTGTACATACAGGGGCTGTATTATGCAGCACATAGGAATGTTTTTGGTTTCTACATTTAAAATCCAAATGTCTGTTTTGCTGACAAATATCTAATCCACTTTATTTGCGATGAAGAAAGCAAACAATGCGAGCATGTCCGTTTTGACAGCTGTTTTCGACTCCTCCCCTGAATGCAACTGGCAAATTTCATCAATCAGTAAGGCCAGCCTCAGTCAAAGTCAAAGTCAAACACATCTATTGAGACTAAACAAAAATAGTGTCATTCTGACCATCATCCTTCAGTTGAAGATCCTTCAGTAGCTTCTATGGCCTGTCCAGCTTGATTTTCTGAGATGCCTGTCCTGTGAGCTCATCTTGTTTGTTGGCAGCTGATAAAAGACCAATAAACCTCTAGCTTTATAACCAATTAATCACTCACTATGATTTACAACATACAATAAACAAATTAAATCATTGGCATTGTTAAACAAATCCTCCTGCAGGCATAATTTATCCGTTTAAATTTCATAAAACGGCTCTAATTATGTTTGATGTGAAGTGAAGCTCACATATCTGATTAGCGTAGGCAGGCCGATCCACCTCCAGCCAATAGTTTCTGTCAGTGGGAAGATCAGAAGTGAGGAGAAGGTGCACAGGAGACCTGCGTCCTGTTGCACAAACAGAGCGGGAACAGCATGTCTGTCCTGCTCTAAAACTTACTGCATTATCTGTCAAACAAGAGACATTTTATTATATGCATGTATATTTTTAAATTAGAAGGGATCAGTTAATCAGTTTTTCCATCACTGATCAGTGTAGCGGCCAAAAGACTCACTGTCAGCTGATAAAGGGCTGGCGTGATCCTGCTTATTAGGTTCAGCAGTTCTGAAGGATCCTGGCTCACTGCATCAAAGCACACATGCAACACAAGCAGCACATGCATTAAATGTGTCCCAGAGCACTAACTCTTGACTCAGAGAGTGGAGAAAAAGCATAAATCACTGCCGAGAAGCACTTAAATGGCCTCACTGAGGCAAAGCAGCTTCTTGAGCATCAAGCATTCGTGCATGTGTGGTTAGATGTCATGAAACTACCTGTAGTCAACTTATAAGTGCACTTTTCTTCTTACCTGTAACGGTTTATTCTTCCAATTGGCCCTGTGGTACTTTCAGCACCTTTAGTTCCTATAGGTCTGCAAAAAAAAAAGATCTTCCCTAAGGTGCTTTTCTCTATACCCGAGAAGCACTTAAATGTTACAACATGGCTTCATTGAGGCAATGCAGCTTCTTGAGCATCAAGCATCTGTGCATGTGGTTAGATGTCATGAAACTACCGGTACTTGTAGTCAACTTGCAAGTGCACTTTTTCCTCTTACCTGTAACTGGTTATTCTCCCAATTGACCTTGTGGTACTTTTGGCACCTCTAGTTTCTGTCGGTCTGCAAAAAGAAAATGGTAAATAACACTTTAGTTTAGACTGTTTATACATTCCTTGATGTAGCCTTCCCTGAGGTGCTAAACATTTTTTTTTTTTTTTGTGAATGAGACTCTCACTGTCTAGATTTGTGGTCTTCCTCGGGTCTCCTCCTGAAGCTCAAGGTAGTGTGTGGTCCTTGCTCTTCAGCAATCCCACCACGCAGCTCTCTTAAAAAACTCTTCAGCTCCACAAGGGGCTCAGAGACTCTCATCTGGAAAGATTCCAGAGGGAAATCCATTCCAGCACATCCTGTCAATTCAGGTATTTAAGTGTGTGGGTGGGTTAGAAGGGCTTTTTTCATACCTCCATTAGGCCATTAACGTTATGCTGAGCGAGGGGAAGATGAGTCTGTAGGGTACAGCTGCTGATTGGAGATCTGGAGACGTTACGCCAGTTCTGGCTTTGCAATTCCTAACCAAAACAAAACATACACATGGAAATAGCATAACAGCAAGAGAATAATAAAGTTTGACCAGAAGGTGATATAAAGTAACTACTACTACAGTAAATGTGTGTACATTTTTACCTTTATATCTAATGCATGCTGCAGTTTCAGCCTCATAAGCTCCTGTTCCTGCTTATGAATAAAGTCTTGGCATTCAGCAAAACTGTCAGACATCTGCACATTATATATTATAATGTTAAGGTTTACAATGTCGGTCAAATAGAACATCTGTTCCATTATTTGTTCAGTACTGTTGTATTGAAATAAGCATTTGTTTAACAAGAAGACCATCAGACACCTTGTATAAAGCTGCTTCCAGTCTCTCTGCTTTGCCTTTGAGCTCTCGCTCTTGTGAGCACAGAGCCTCCACTTCAGACTCCAGTCTTCTCCTGCTCTCCCTCTCTGACAGCAGCTCTTGTGTCTGTCTCTTTACCAGTAAAGCCTGACGGTGTTTCTCCTATGGCACACAAACACACACTTATTTGTACTTGCACACAAATATGCACAAAAGTAAAAACAAACATAAACAGAAGAAAGTAGCTGATTGACCCATGCAAAAAACTGCATGTTTACGTAGGTAGATATTTGCCCTTGCACGGTAAAAAGAATAAGAATTCTAAGAATCTAAGAATCTTTTGCTGAGAAAAAATATGTTCTGCTGTTCTTTTTATTTATAATAGCTAACTCCCAATGAATAGTGCAACACTTTCCTAAATGCTACTAAGAACATTCTATTTTATCTATTTAATCCTGCATATCAGCATATAGTTGCAGTCATAAATTTACATACACATAATCTGCAAAATGTTAATAATAGTAATAAAAATGGGAGTGAGAACAGTTCACACAGACTATCCTGTTTAAAAGTTTACATCCACCCGCTGTTAATGCATCATGTTTCCTTCTTGAGTTTCTCAGTTGTCCTCAGTTTGAAAAGATGGCTCTCAAAACCAGTCACTGTTGGAAATGGTTCAAAAATGCAGAAGATGATAGAAAACTAAAGAATGCTCAGGACCTGAAGTGTTTTTCTGAAAAACAACAGGCAGTTTAACTCAGGTAAAACAAGGGACTTGTAAAAAACAAAACAAAAACTGTTGTGGCAAATTCAGTTATTATTTTGTCTTAGGGTCTATTTGTGAACATCTGTAGTGTGAAATAGCTTATTCAGGGCAGTACTTCATATAAAAATAATTTTTTTTTTTTAATTAGTGACATTTTGCAGATTCTGCAATGTGCATGTAAACTTATGACTACAACTGTACAAGTATAACAACGAAAATTGTGGTTTTCCTGGAAACTGTCTCTCTGAAATGATTTCAAAATCAAATAATTTCTAACAAACATTACATCCACCCGCTGTTAATGCATCATGTTTCCTTCTTGAGTTTCTCAGTTGTCCTCAGTTTGAAAAGATGGCTCTCAAAACCAGTCACTGTTGGAAATGGTTCAAAAATGCAGAAGATGATAGAAAACTAAAGAATGCTCAGGACCTGAAGTGTTTTTCTGAAAAACAACAGGCAGTTTAACTCAGGTAAAACAAGGGACTTGTAAAAAACAAAACAAAAACTGTTGTGGCAAATTCAGTTATTATTTTGTCTTAGGGTCTATTTGTGAACATCTGTAGTGTGAAATAGCTTATTCAGGGCAGTACTTCATATAAAAATAAAACTTTTTTTTAAAATTAGTGACATTTTGCAGATTCTGCAATGTGCATGTAAACTTATGACTACAACTGTACAAGTATAACAACGAAAATTGTGGTTTTCCTGGAAACTGTCTCTCTGAAATGATTTCAAAATCAAATAATTTCTAACAAACATACCAGAGCAAGTTACACCTTCATTCAGGCCATATTTCCCACTGTCTTTCTGATAGTCCACACCTATAAATAATATTTTATTAGGGTATCTGTGCTTTTACTCAAGTACTTGACTTGTGTACTTCGTCCACCAATGATCGCATTGACACACTAATTAGTAACAGGGGGGTATTGTGAGAAACAGAAAGGAGTAGTTAGTGATGGACCCCACCATCTTGAGCTTCTCTATGGTCTCCTCCAGCAGCTGAATTCGGCTTTGCAGGAAATCAATCTGCTCCCTTTTAGCAGTGATCTGTTTCTGCATTCCCAGAGCAACTTTGAGACCTGAAATACATATGAAACACTCTCCAATCAGTTCAACCATGGTTAAGTACCACAAAGAAAACTCTTTGAAAAATAATTATTCACTGTCCTGTCTGAAAGAGGAATATTATGTTCAATGAGGTGTCGCCCTATGATATCTGTGAAATGCTTGACATTCAAACAGAATGAGCTCAGGTTATGTTAGCTGCATCACGTTCACAAGAGAATAACTTGAACTATATTGTTAATGCATTGTCTGCTTTTCAAAAGGCACTTTGTCCAGTGAACCAATGAACTGAAACTTACGTCAGATGAGACCATTTTCCCATTCTGTCCCTCTCACAATTGAATAGGACAAAATGAAACAATGGAGGGTTACAGAGGTCAGAACTAAGAAATCATAGCTACATTATGTAACAGCCCACAACCACTGCACACAGCGAGAACAAAAGTTCTTTAACAATGTCTCAATACACTGACGGCAAACAGCTGAGAACATTGTATAAACGTTAAAATGCTATACTTTGTGCAGATTAAGAGATGGAAAAGTACATAGTGGAATAACAGCAGGAGGGCATCGACCAGATCTATAATCTCAGTGTGCCGTCTTCCTGCCATTATCCAGAATGCAGAACAACAAAACGATGGCCACACACTACGTAGGGTGTGGTCTTCCTCCCTTTATTTTAAATACACTTGGCCTAGATCTGGGTTTTCCTGAGGTAACACTGTGAATGGTGTAAAAACATCCTCAGTTTAAATATCAGCTGTGCTATGAATGAGTACGGATACCTATATTTGTATTTGAGCGTAATTAGGACTTTCCTGAATTTTTTTTCTCAAAGCTTTAATCTCAGGGGCCAGTTCTGTGAGGTTACTGAGGGCGAATCTGAGTGCTCAGCTAAGACAACTGATCATTTTTCATTTAAAACGAGGCATTTCTATGTGTATGCACAGTACCATGACCATCTGCTCCCTCCAGTGTTCTCAAGGAACTGTTGGCCTGGTCCAGCTCAGCCCATAGAGTCTTCAGCTGGGTCTTGAGTTTTAGGTTTTCTTGTTCCAGCTCACAGGTCTTACAGCCGAGCAGCTCTTTCAACGCTTCCTGCCCCTCTGGTGAGTTTGTGGGGGACAAAGTAAAAAAAAGGGTGATATTGACAGAAAATGGCCTCATTAAAAGAATTAAATTCTTGAAAAGAAACCTTTATTAAGTAGTTCTGGATAATCTTTTATTATTACTTTTTTTTTTTAATGTATTTGAAAGAAGTCTCTTCTGCTTACCAAGGCTGCATCATTTATTTGATTATTTAACATACAGCAAAATATTGCAAAATACTATTACATTTGTTTACCACTTCAATATATTTTCAAATGTAATTTATTTATGTGATGGCAAATTTTTCAGCATCATTACTCCAGTCTTCAGTGACACATGATCCTTCAGAAATCATTATAATATGCTGATTTGATGCTCAAGTCAATTTCTTATTATTAATGTTGAAACTGCTTAATATGTGTTTGTGGAAAATAAGATAGATTGATAGATGATAAATAGAAGGTTCAAAAGAATATCACTTATTTTAAATAGAAATATCAGATAATTTGAGCTTTTTTAAGGCAAGGCTAGCTCAGGTTGTAAAAATGGAAGCCATTCCCCCAAAACCTATATATATATATATATATATATATATACATATATATATATATATATATATAAAACTTATTGAAAACAACTGTAAAATAATAATGAATTAACCTGTAAATAAAAATTAAAATGTGAACATACATGTATTCAAGGTGTATGAAATATGTTATTACTTTTTATTTGATTGTTACACCACATGAAAATTTTGACTTTTCTTAAAAATCATTTTCTTTTTCTTAATCATGGATACTATGGATGCTATTTGTAACTGTCCCAGATGACATCTACTTTGATTTTTTGTTTCTGCCAAATAATATATACAATAACAAAGCAATACAATAAAAGCAAAAATTACACGTTAAAATAGTTTTGTACTGTACACTGTACTCATAACAACATACACTTTAAAGTCAGTTTATATCAGGTCTGCAGTTTGTAATGCCATTTAGATGAATCTGTGTTTGTACCTTTCAGCTGGGTAAACTGCATACGCCGCACTCCCAGCTCAGAGGTCATCTGCTGTTTCTCTAAAGTAAGCTGATCAACATTGCAGATCTTTTCTGAGAGCGCAGCCTGCTGACAGGCCTTCTCTCTCTCCACTGTGCTGAGTCTGAACTCTGCCTGTCTCAATGCAGCCTGTTAATCCAACCAGTATATGGATGGCATGCAAGAAACAATTATGAGAAGTGCAATATTAAACCCTCAGCTTGGACCAAAAGAAAACAAATGTGTAATATATCTTCATAGCTCTTCCTGATACACCCACCGAGCATCAATAATGAATGGGGTTATTTAATCTATAATCGGTTTAACATTTGAACAGAAACTACCTAATAGCTAAGGAATCCTATATTGAGAATTAGTTATAGGAATTGTCTTTAAGTTCTACTGAAAGATTCTTCCCTAAATTTCCCCACCTTCAGTTGTTGATTCTCCCCTCTGAGCCGCTCGATCTGGTTAGTAAAATACTGTTGCATGTCCACAGTGCAGCTGTGATTTGAGATCATATGCAGGGCATTTTCCAGTTCTGCGCTCACCACCCTGTCATCTGCCTCTGCCGTCATGACCTTCAGCAGACCCTGAACCTATCCCAGCTGGCCATGGACCTGCTGCAGTTCATGCTGCTTTAACAACGCCTGCAGATGCCTTCTCTCCCACTGAAATACACATAACAAAACTGAAATGAAAGCACAGACCTGACAGCTCAACCAGAGACTCGTGTGTTCTATCTCTGCCAACAGCTCAAAAGTGTAATAAACACATTGTAGTTCGAAAATGGCATTCTTTAAAACGAGTTAGCTCAAATTATCTTAAAGGTGCAGTAAGTACTTTTTCTCGCTTAAAAAGAATAAAGTAAAAAAAAGAATAATGCTATCGCAGCCTAAAATGTCAAAAATTACATACACTCACATGAGACCAATACTATGCAGTATAAATCAATCTTGGGTGACAAATATATTACCATGCAAAACTTTGTTGTTGGTAAGTTTTTGTTTGTTTTTGAGACTCTTATACTCACAAAGGCTGCATTCATTTAACCAAAAATACAGTAAAAACTTTCTATTTTAATATATTTTAAAATGTAATTTATTTCTGTGATGGCAAAGCTGAATTTTCAGCAGCCATTACACCAGTCTGCAGTGTCACATGATCGTTCAGAAATCATTCTAATGCTGAGTTCTGCTCAAGAAACATTTTTATCTTATCATTAAGATATTATTATTATTATTATTATCAATGTTGAAAACGGCTGTGCTGTTTACATTTTTTGTGGAAACGGTGATACATTTTTTTTTCAGGATTCGTTAATGACTAGAAAGTTCAAATGAACAGCATTTATTTGAAATAGAAATCTTTTGTAACATTATAAATGTCCTACTGTCACTTTTGATGATTTCAATGTGGCCTTACAACTTCTGGACAGTAGTGTACACTTGTCAACAGGATATTCTACAATGGCATCTTTAATGAAAACTTTTGCTTTGGTGTGATGCTGCCAATGTATATCAGTATAAGGTTGATCAGTGTACCTCTGATCATTACCACTGACTTGCACCTTTTACTGTTGATAACACATTTCTTAAAGCTGAAATGTGTCTTTTTTTGCCCAATAGTGTCCCCAAGTGGAAATGCAAAAATAAAGACTGACCACTCCTCTGCCTGTCATTGGTCAGTCAAACAGATAAGCCTGTCCAAATCTCACGCTATTGGTTGAGCCAATGTTGCTTGTTTGGGCTAGTCTGGATGCACAAACAAACTGATCAATGTTTTTATAGTGTCACAGAGAGAGACAGTGTTTAAAAACTTCCTGTCGACATGTCTCTAAAAGTTGTTATTAATATCCTTTTTTCTGAAAAAAAAAAAAACACTGAGAAGAAAAAGCAAACAATCAAAACAAACTTGTCTTGAGTAACCTACACTGCTGTTTATTACTATAAGTTGGCAGAATTGTGTATGTAATTGGGCTGAGAGGTCTCTCCCTCTCACGGCCTTCTTGGCCTGGGACTGGGATTGAGCCAACTCCTCCTCCACTGACCTGAACCAGCAGCCAACTCAATTACGTTCCAACAAACCCTTCTCTCATTGTAGAGTACAGCCACATTGAGCATTTGAAGGTTATCCAGCATACCAGATGCATCAGTCAGACAGTGCTAATGTGAAACATCCATCATCCCAGCATCCAAGTTCTCAAGTATTGGTGTAAACACAAAAAGGGGTTGGAACACTCGGCTCATTTCCTTGTTGTTTCTTTGACTCCAGCTCACCTATCTTTCAGCTTTGTTTTCTAACTCGAACATGAAACAAAACCATTTTAATTCAAAAGTGACAGAATGAAAGGCAACACCATTCAGCTGGGAGGATATGTATAGGATGAGAACTTACCGTAATAACTCCAACAGTAGTTGCAGACTGGTGGAATTAGTCTGTAAGCACCAAGATTTCAGTCAATATCGCCACCTCCTGGTCATGACTGGTAATGAGCGGCTCTTGTCTGTAACAGAATATAATGTGATAAGATTATGATTATTTATTATGATAGATAACATGCCTTTCACAAAAACCAATGTTTGTTACAATAATGTCGCAAAATCAATCATTTAAATGTAAAAATGTTAATTTTAACGAAAAAGGTAAGAAACATGCTAATTGGTTAAGTGTAAGTTGCCTTGCCATAGAGACGGTAAAAAGTATGTCCTGTCCTAGAGGGTCCCCAGTCCTGCACATTTAGTATGTCTCCCTCATCTAACACACCTGATTCAACTCATCAGCTCGTTAGTAGAGACTGCAAGAACCAAATTCGGTGTGTCTGATAAAGGAGACATACAAAATGTGCAGGACTGGGGGTCCCCCAGGACATACATTGCATGCAATTATAATGTAAATACTGTAAATAAATAAAACAAAATACTGTGGGGAAATATATTAATAAATATATAAATAAAAAAATCTATTATCTTATAATAAACAGTGAAAATGTATATTATATTCACTATATATATATATATATATAGTGAATATAATATACATTATACATAATTGCCTTTATATATATATATATATATATATATAAAAGCAATTATGTATTATTTTGTTGAAAACATGATATAGTTTAATATCTCAAATAGGCTGGTATTAACATTATATCATTTGAAGACATACAGTTATGCTAAAATATAGTCACATAAATGTAATCTAATACTGTTTACCTTTTTTTTTTTTTTTTTACAAACACGTTTTTATTTTGTGTGATCTTATTATACTGCACTTTTGTCAGCACTTTTTGTCAGTAAAACAATTTGCTGTTTTTTTTATGTGCTATAGAAACACGTGATTTGATAATGATTTTTATTTCTCTGAAAAATATAAAGAAATTGTCTAAATGCAATTTCTTCATTTTTCCAATGATGATGTTTTTGATAAAATTCTTATGCTACATACAACCAAAGATTTATCATTCTGCAGTTTGTTTTGTGCATATTGCAAAATGCACATTTGTCTTTTTTTTATTAAAAACTATGTAATGTCAGTGTTTTGGTGTCCAGTTGTTTATTTCCTAATAACGAAATAAAGAGTGCGTAAGTGTGTTACCTTTAAGCAATACAGACTACAAATGTTTCATCATGGTAAGAGTTTGTGGTAATTTCACCGTCTCGATAGTGTCTCTTCTTCCCACGCGCCCCTCCCCCGCCTGTCCGCTCGCGCTGGCCAAAAATGTGAAACCAAATCCGAGCAGCAGGTCACAGAGCCTAGTTATTTTAAAACCAATACTCAACTACCTCGACAGGACCATGATGGAAGTAACGCGGAACGGGCAGTTTAAAGAAACAATCGTCGCCTTGAGAGACAGAGTAAAATGAGGGAGCGGCGATATGCTGCTTTAAAGTTTATTGTTGTTGGGCTGCTCGTGCGTCTCCAATGTCTCTGCCCATAGTTCTGCCTGGATCTTGTTGTCGTTTATCGGGGGCTACTTTAGCCCATCAGTTCGCAGACGCATCTTACAGAAGCCGCAGCCGCAGCCGCAGCCGCCGTGTGTCCGCTCTTCCGTCCCGTATGTCTGGATCTCAGACGCGGCTCATCCCGGCGCTGCTGCCCGCACGCCCTCTGCTCTCCCTCGGCTTGCTGCAGCTGGTTCTCGGCTGCTCCATGGTGGCGCTCTCTTTCGGGGCTCTGTCCCTTAGCAACTCGCCCCCTGTTAGAAACTCCTGTCCGTTTTGGGCCGGATCTTCTGTGAGTATTATATTACTAGCCATAAGGTGCTAATGCTTTTATTTTACGCCACAAATCATGCATGCTACAGATATAAAAATGCATGCTTGTTAAAATGCCACTGTATAAGTGTACAGCTTTTCATCGATCCATTACAAACCAACAGGTGTAAAGGAGAAGTTTTATTGTGGTCTAATGTGTTTCCAATGCAGTCTGATACAGAAACGTGGTGCTGCACTTTTAGTTCAGTCTATTTCAGAGTATATGAGCACAACACACACTGTTGTTTACCAATAATGCACTATGCACTAATATTTGTAAATTATTAGTCGAGTACCAATGTCCAGTTATTGCTCTAAGGAAAAAGTTTCTGCCTGATCTCTCGGTGTAACCTAATGCAGTTGGGTTGATTCAGTCAAATTAAATAATAATTTAACTGGAATTTGACCAGTTAATTCAGATGTTACCACATTAAGCACATATTTAGGATTAACATTTTTACAGTGTACAGTTTACAGTTATACATGTTTACAGTATACCGTTTCACAGTAAGGCGTAATATCCAATACAGTAACTAGATTTCAGTGAATGACATATGAATGTCATTTAATTTAAATAAAAAAATTGATTATCAGATTTATCAGTCAATATCACATGAATGATTATTTTGATTCTGGCACAGTCACCAGACTTTTAAGCTTGTTTACATACATTATCATTTATGCATGTGGCTATTATACACAGCAAATGACAATGTTTTAACTTTTAATAGCTTTAAACTATTAGTCACTTCCAGAATAAAAGTTTCCTGATGGATCCCATGTCATCCAAGATGTTCATGTCTTTCTTTCTTCAGTCAAAAACAAATTAATTTATTTGTTCTTTTTCTCCATATAATGGACTTCAATGATGGCCAACGGGCTGAAGGTCCAAATTGCAGTTTCAGTGCAGCTTCAAAGGGCTCTACATTATCCCAGCTGAGGAATAAGGGTCTTATGTAGCGAAACAATCAGTCATTTTCTAAAAAAAAATAAAAAAAAATATATATATATATATACAGTATATATAAATTATATACTTTTTAACCACAAATGCTCGTTTTTATTCTGGAAGTGAACTAATCCTTACCTTTTTAACATCTTGAGATTCTCCAGATTCCTCTTAAAGCTGCATTTCGTAACTTTTTTTGGTTAAAAATGATCCAAAATCAATTACATAGCAAGTACATAACCAATCAGTGTTCAAAACTATCTCCTTACTTTAGCCTGATTTCACAACTTCTTCACAAAACTTATTTTGGACATACTTCTAAGACATAAGGTGCGTCCCAAATCACATACTTATGCACTATTCTATGACGTTTTTAGTATGAATAGTGCAAGTAGTGCGTTCACACTGAAAATTCCAAAAAGAAAAAGTGCACTTTAAATACCCGGATGATGCACTTAAATAACTGAAAAAAAGAAGTGTGAAAAGTTGCACACTTCATGCACTCAACTGTCGCAGCTTTAATTACGTAGCGAAGAGGGAGCGGCTATCAGACTCCGATTATGAATTACAAAATAACCTTATTTAATTCATACACTAAATGGTTGAGTACATAGTGTATGAGTGCATAGTGTGTAGTACTGTACGTCATTTGGGACGCAGTATCTGTAATTCCGAAGTACAGTGAATATCCACACCATGATCCACAAACCTTAAAACATTAGATTCATCCGCGCTGAGGAGCCGTGCCGATGCACAACCCACATAAAGAAGATAATTCCGCAAATAACTGAAATTGCAAGTTTCAAACAGAGATGGCGACAAAGAGGCAAAACTTACGGACTGCAGCTTTAAGTTTTTAGATATTTAGAAATGATCCTAGTTCTGTGGTGGAATCCAGCCAAAGATATCCTCAAAAGTACAATTTACAATATTATTTCCCATATTTAAGTGTGGTTAATATTTGTGGTCATTAGCAGGAGTTGAGTGATGTTTTGGCTAAGTGTGAATCTCTACTGCTTAACACTCTATAGTGAGCAAACAACAGTTAACTAGAGCTAATGTTTATTTATACATTTGAACTCCATTACTGATGAATAAAATAAATAAACAAAAAAATAAAAAACTCTGAAAACTCATATAATTGAAATAATTGTGACATTTAACAATGATGGAAATGATAATGATGAAAGCATTTACAGTGTAATATTGTAATGCTGATTCACTCTTACTACAGAATTTTGTTGATTTGAATAAAATTAATGAATGTAATTATTTTTTATTGGGTACCTCACACAAACATTTTACAGTTAAAAAGAGCTAAACAAAAGAACCCATCAGTTGATGTAATTGACAGGAAGTGGCAGTGAAAGAGGAAATGAGAGGGAGCCGAGTATGGACAATGGTATTTGAATGAGGCTGCTGCAGACAGCTCGGCCAACAGCACAGTGAGTGAGATGAGTCATTAAAACAGGATTTAAAAGTGCCGAAGGCCATTTTGAGCAAGTGCAGCATCTGATGGGTAATAATGGGTTCATTATCAGTTAATCTGTCTGTGAGTGTTTGCCTCTTTGCTGAACAGACTGATTGTTTTCTGCAGGTCATCCTATCTGGGATTATAGGACTAACCACATGGAAACGGCCAATGCTTCTGCTGGTATGTGTGTTTTGCCAATATAAGACTGATGGTCTTTAAAGCAGTAGTCTTTATGTTTCCATTTTAATAAGCAGATGAATTGACTTTACCTGAAAGTGGTTATATGATGTTTACTACACTAAATTAGTCCTGTGTTGACCTAAACATATGTTTTCAGGGTAATCTTCTGCATGCCCGTGTCCTTATGTTAAAGGGGCAGTTGTTAGGCTCTTAAAAGACCCCTTAAATAGGATCTGTGTCCACCAGACATTCAGTTAAGACCTTGTTAATTAAGTCTTAAGCTGACCATGAGCTTCTGCCAGCTGCCCTTCATATACACTACAGTTAAAAATGTTGGATTCATTAATATATATATATATATATATATATATATATAAATGAATACTTTTTCTTCAGCAAGAATGCGTTAAATTGATCAAAAGTGACAGTAAATACATTTATAATTTTACAAACTATTTTTATTTCAAAATAAATGTTGTTCTTTTGAACTTTCTATTAATATGAAATGATAATAATAAAATGTTTAAGCAGGACAACTGTTTTCAATATTGATAATAGTAAGAAATGTTTCTTGAGCACCAAATCAGCATATTAGAATGATTTCTGAAAGATCATGTGACACTGAAGACTGAAAAGAAAATTCAGCTTTGCCATCACAGGAATAAATTACATTTTAAAATATTGTAAAAATTTTTTAAATATGAAACCGTTATTTTAAAGTCTAATAATATTTCACAATATAACTCTTTTTCCCGTATTTTTGATCAAATAAATGCAGCCTTGGTGAGCATAAGAGACTTCTTTCAAAAACATTAACAAATCTCACTGAACCCAAACTTTAAACAGCAGTATAAGGGTAATTTTCTAATTACAGATTTGAGCACTAATATTTTATTTGTCAAATAGAATTACTACCGACTAGTACTGATCTTTCTCTGTACCATTACCTCTTTTCATTGTGTCTCTCACACAGGCAAATCTGTTTGTATTGCTGTCAGTGGTCTGTATCTTGCTAAACCTGGCAGGCTTCATCCTCTGCTGTCAGGGGGCTCAGCTGGTCTCCAGTACCATTAACTGCCAGCTGGTGAGGAATCTGTACACTTGGACGTGTGCTGTAATAGAGACAATAACATCATAATGTCAAATGACTCATGTATTGATTGTATTCATGAACCTAGATGCAAAATTTAAACAAACACAAATTGAAGTGGGGCAACCCTTATTAATAAATACACACATACATACATACTACTTCCAGTTAAGCGTGTGCACAGGCTGATGTGGTACTTGGTTGATGTATGTTTTAATAACACATTATGGAAAAAAGCACATCTGTACTGTACAGACCATCTGCTTAGAGGAATAAAGCTTGTCCAAGTCAAAGAGAGCCCTGAAATTGAGAGTCAAAGCAGGTTCCAGTTTTTCTTGGATGTGATGTAGTTTTTAGGATGCTGTCATTTCCAGTGTCTGAAGACTGCTCTTTCATCATTTCCACTTGTCATTGAAATGTCCCTGCCATATTGGTGACCTCATACCTTTGAGCTGTTATGCAGCGCCAGACCCCTCAAAATGACAAATGTAGAAAGGTGCCTGGAAACTTCATCCTCAGTCTCATACTTTGAATCCAGGCAGTTCTTTAAGTATTAGTAGACCATGTCATCAGACATTAATATGAAACAAACATAATAAATGTGTTTCTGTGTTTCAGAACGAGCTGGGTGATCTCTGTTACTGTTGTTCAGAGATTCCAAGCACTCAGTGCCAAGAGGACAAGTTGATTGAGATCTATGCAGGTCATGCATGTGGTACAATGAGAATTCTCCTCAAGG